CCCCCCCCAACACTTTAATTTTAAACAGGCTGCGCGGTGCCGGATTACTGAACCATCTCTTCTTGTCTCTCTGCATGATTCTGCAATATTGAAACACTGCGCATTCTTGCAGCATTCAAATGGTGATGAAAATAGAGAGACATTATATTTCATGTACTTAAAATGGATAAAACTTGCCTCCGATCCCTCTTGCCTCAAGAGATGGGACAGTGAACTGGAGCAAACAAAATGAGGCCACTACTAGAAACACATTTCTATAACTCAGATAAATTCTGGTTGACTACCATACCATCTGCTGCACAGTTTGCATTTTATGTCATTTTTGAATGGTGAGCTTAACATAAGGATAAATTTATTTGATGTGCTGTTTAGTTTCAGACACTTGTTCAGTTACTTTGGTGATAAAAAGGCTTAATATATTTTTGATATTACATTTGTGTGTATTTTCATGGCGTAATTATAGCGTAATTATAAGTTAAAAGAAAGTAATATAAGAAACAACTTTATTTAATTGGAGTCTAAAATAGTGTGTTATAAATATTAAATAAATACATTTCAAATTTGGTATAAAATATATCTATTGGGAAAATGTGTGCATAATTGGTGTCCAATGTATTGTAATAAACTCTTCTGATTCAAAGTCCCTAAAATTTCTTCCTTTGTGACATTTCCAATACGGTTGAATGGCACGTACAACTAATTTACATTTAAAATTTCCTATATACAATTTACTGTACAACAAAGTTTACAATATATAAAACTATAAAATTACGTATAATTGTGTATATAAAAAATCTTTGACTTTAAAATTATGCCGGTTTCTTTCAAGTTATTGTGAACAACTGCTAGGTTTAACGGTTTAACAAGTTTTTAATAAACCGATTTAAGTTTTTTCGTAACTTATGCATGCATGAATACTTAAAAATGCCCGTTGAAACAGTATAGTCCCATCATCATATTGTCGGATGCAACATGTTGGCCTTGTTTGAAGATTATGTTTGGTAATGTTGGCTGATGGTCTGATGGTGGATCAAGTTTCACTTAAATCTGATTCTTTCACTAAAACCTCGTCGAAACGAGGCCAGTATGTTGCTCCAACAAGCTTCGGATTGATAGGGTACAACTACTTAAAAAATACAAAGAGAACTTCGACGGTTCAAGCGGCCCTTCTAACGAACTACTCCCTGCCCGACGAAGGGTTCTCGCCCGAAACGTCCAACTTCTTGTATTTTACAGGTATAGTTGAATCCCACAAAGGCCGACTGAGCAGTATTGGCTCTACCTACACTGGCCGCAACATTGTTGGCCTCGTTTCAACACTGTGTTGGGTAATGTTGCGTGATTTTGGATTGGGTTTGACTTTGTTTGAAACTTTCATCCAACACTGGCTAACATTTTTGGGCGAACATTTTTGGGCGAACATTTTTGGGCGAACAATCTTGGACGAGTCATTTGAACCATACTCTGTCAAGATATGATGGTCTGGAAGGTCGGCAAATTTCAAAGCCACAAAATAGAAGAGCTTGGGCTTGGTTTGACGTTGAACAAATCATGCACAAATCCTTTGTCTCAACTTCATTAAATATTATTCATCCTGGCTGCACATTTCATCTCAGCTATCCATATTGGACGGTTACGTCATACGAAAATACAATGATCTCAATCGCCGTGACCGTTCACAAATTAACATAAACGTTCAGTTTCCAGAACATATCTTGATAGACTATGTTGGAGGATGCTGAAATAGGGCGCTTTCCATTTAATGGCTGACCGGTCAGACTCGAATTTTTGTCTCTGTATCAATGGAAAGATCCGGTCTCTGTTTCTCAAAAATCTAGCGAAACTCGACCTCATTCTAATTTTATCTACGTTTTCTGGTCAGAAAGGTCCGAAGCCTAAACGTTTTGCGTTCCATTCAACAATTTGACCGGTCTGGCCGTGTTAATGGAAAACGCCCATAGTTTCAATGAGCTTTTGTCGAAAGCAATATCGTTTTACTTCAACTTACAATTGTGTCGTTCCTTCATTACGTGTTGCAATGCCTTTCGAGCAACGCTTGCCTTCGCAATTTTCGGCGTACGACCGATTGCTTCAAACTTACCATAGCCTGCTATCACCACACTGCTTTTATACTGTCTTGAGAGCGTGAGACGAGCCAAGCTACACGTGTGAATGATGGAAATGTTAGATCATCAAACTGTATTTTATGGAATATATCAGCAGAGGTTACTTTCTCCTATAAAACCTCTGCTCGCAGGGTAGTCTGGGTAGAGCCTGGGAACGAGGTTGCTTAGACGTATATTTCTATTTATTATATAGTAGAGAGTGAGATACTGAAAAATACACAGTAAGATATTTTCCATATCTTCACTAGTGAAGATATCGATCACGTGACTTTTAGTATTTCACAATTTTTGGCTTGGGACTATATAATAAACAGAACATTACACGTTGGCGCGAAGATATGACTTTTATCTTCTCGTGTTAAAGACAATATTTTACTCACTCGCTGCGCTCGTTCGTAAAATACTGTTTTCACCACTCGAAGATAAAAGTCATATCTTCGCGCCGCCGTGTAATATCCTCCATGTATTGTGAAAACTAGGGTGGACGAAAGAAAATGCTACGATTCGTTATGATTAAAGTGGAAAAAAATCATGCTTGAATACATACAATACCTGAAGTTAATTTTATCGCTATCAGGGAAACTTTCTTTTAAGACTCGTATGGGTGATCGTGGTATATTGTCTTTGTAATAATCTAGGAACACAAAAAAAAAGAGAACTGTACAAATTGAAAAAACACTGTGAATAACAATACCTACATATGTGGATTTTATGATGAAGCAGTATCGTGCAACAGGTGGTCCTACAGCCAAACACCGACTTACTTCCCCGAAGGGTGTTTTGAGAGCTAGATTTAGGTTTCTCATTTTCTCATGTTGATCACCGTCTGCTGTCTGTAACGACGATTAAGATTAGCATTTCTATAGCGCAAATTTACATGCGGGTATGATTAAATACACAATTACTTTATGGTTTCCGTGTTTGGATGGCCTGATCCAAACACGCGGGAATGTTGCGAAAGTTAAGAAAAGCGCCGCAAAGCACGAGCCGAAGGCGAGTGATTTTGCACGCTTTTCTTAACTCGAGCAACATTCCCAAGTGTTTGGATCAGGCCATCCTAACAGGGAAACCATAAAGTAATTGTTTTATAAAATAACAACAACACGATAGTCTTCCGTATTTGGATGGCCTGATCCAAACACGGGTTTCGACCAATCAGAGCACGCGTTATATACATGTTATTTTATAATGCGTTTTACATCAAGTATTATGCGCTTTACATCAAGTATTATGCGCTTACCTAATTACATATTTAGCCTGGACTATTTTATTTTTTTACCAATAGACCTTTCCCCTTTTGAGTGAAATTTTGATCTAGACAAGTCTGGACAAAAATCCCACCACAGCTTGAAAGAGAGCATCACAAAATTAGTAATATTCCGAAGTTTCGTTGCGAAATGTTGAAGTTTGCCGTTTTTCAGTTATTTTAGATTACAAATGGGAAATTCATAATCAGTTTGATCATCTGATTACCAATTTTCATTTGTAATGCAAAATGACTGAAAAACGGCAAATTTCGCAAGGCTATATTATCCGTATTTTACAACATTTCGCAACGAAACTTCGGAATATTACTAATTTTGTGATGCTCTTTCAAGCTGTGATGAAATTTTTGTCCAGGCATATCTAGATCGAAATTTCACTCATAAGGGGAAAGGTCTATTGTGATATTACCTTCTTAACTTTATCCTAACCCACCCTGTCAACTTTCCCACCAGAGCACCCGGAGAAAACCCAGCCTAGACCTAGGCCTTCTATTTTTATTTATTGATTTTTTTAATATTCAGCGCTTTTTCATATGAAAAGACTGGGACTAGGTGATTTGGGGGCGGGGCGGGGCGGAGGAAGGACACAAGCCCCAGTCTTTTCACGTGAAAAAGTGCTGAATATTAAAAAAAATATAAATAAGACTAGAAGGCCTAGGTCTAGGCTGGAGAAATCTCGTTCCCAGAGTATGCCTGTTCGCGGGTTAGGTACCTAACCCGCGAACAGGCATACTCTGGGAACGAGATTGTCTCAGAAGTGAAAGGCTCTTGTTCTGACGCCTGCGCCACCGAAGTGAAAGCTAAGATGAAGACTTGAGTTGCAGTCTTACCTATGAAAGGCATGAACATAGGAAGAACTATCTTCCACACAAGCTCAAGATCCATACCAGAGTCAAGATACATGGCACAAACCACCGCTTCAAACACATCTCCTAACACCTTGGGAACCTCCACCAAACTTTCCTCCACTTCAGACGCGCCTACCACGAATGCATCAACCGACGTCTAAAAATATAAAGATAAAAAGTGAAATCATATTTATGGTAAATCGATCTGAACAGACACTTTTCCCTGAACAGATCCTTTTCCCAGCAACTACCTCGAAAATATAAGCACAACTTCGACGTTTTGACCGATCTTTCGTCGGGAAATCAGTAGCCTAGGGTCTTGTGTCTCTCTCACAGCCAAGCTTCCTTTGCAGAACGTCATAAATAGGTCACCACAGTGAGTGGCTGGAGGACAGGGTGGCGGCTTTCGAAACAATGAAAGGACAATGGAGCATTTTGATCACAGAATAGTGTATGGCCATTATTGTTATGCTCTATTTGTTAGGCAAAGGGCGCGTTTTGGTTGGTTTTTGGTTGGTTAAGCAAACAGATCAAGCTACCTCTCTCCATTCTTCTCCACCTCTATAAATTTGGAAATATTTCTTCAGAAATCTTGTCTGGATCAGTAGGAGTTTTCTTCTCTGAAGTTTTGAAATAAACAGACGTGCAGAAATACATAAACTAAAACAGCAGGTTCAATTTTAACCGAGGGTTAGTGCTTATCTGGCTTTGAACAACCGACCCCTGATATTTACCCTTAGTGAACCCATTTACTGGAAATCAGTCATGTGTACAGATACCGATCTTGGAAATATAAACCTTACCTTCCACGAAGCACCTTGCTTCAATTCCTGCTCTTCCAAGAATTTTATAAACTGACCAATCACATCAAGTAACGGTGGTGACATATACCTCAAGGACTGGTGCAAATTCTTCTGTACAGCAAGAAAAGCCAGGGTGAAATTATTCACCAGCCCTGAACGGAAATCTGTAATGTCGCCATGATTAAGATGTGGAAAATTCTCGTAAAGATAAAGCGTGACAACATAGTCCAAGATGGCATCTCCTACAAACTCCATTTTCTGGTAAGTTTCTGAGATCTGTGATAAGAATCTTGGATAGGAATTATGCGTGAGAGCTTGGAGAAGTAGATGTTTGTTTTTGAAAGAATATCCCAGCTCTCTTTCAATATGATCAAAATTTGGAACCGGACGTGTTGGATGGTTGCTCTTTGACGGTACAGCTTTGTTTGAAGTGAAATTAATTTTGTTCTTTGGGAGTTTTGAATTCTTCAATGAGATTCCAGAATTTTCTTTAGTATCAATAAGATTACCAGATATTCTGGGTTTACAGTAATGTTTCTGTTCAGTGATTTGGGAATGATTGCAGATCTCTTTTTCTTTCATATCAATGGCGGTTGAAATACCATTACATCCACCAACGTGAAGCCTCTTCAATATTTCTCGCTCTTTTCTTTCCAAGAGAGTACAGTTTACAGTTTGGAGTTCCTTGCCAAGTTGTTCATGTAACTTTATACGGTCCCCAGAGTTAATAGTTTCGTTCAAATTCTCTTCGCAGGGTGAACGTGGATTTACAAGCTGAGAATGGTCGTTCATGTAATGTGGTTCTTCATTTATAGCTTCATGACAGTTTCCATAATCTTCTGTTGCTTGCAGAACACAGTTTGTGGACATGCGAAACTCGCAGAATGTAGCCTTAGACATAGTAGCGTTGTCCAAATTCTCTTTTACATACCAGGGAGTAGGATTTCCATCTTGCTGTTCCTTCTTCGCAGGCATTCTTTCCAGTTCCTCACTTATAACACAGTTCACATGACCTCCAGTTGTCTGAGCTGACAGTGTGTGTTGATACAAGACAGCCAGTTCACTCGAAGTGTACTGTGCCACACCTAACCAGATCAAAAACCGTCTCGCAACATCTCTACCACAGCCCACCAAAGTGGCGGCGATCAAAGCTTCCACAGTATTCGCCACGTGTTTATCCCCTAGCACCTGGTGAGTGTACAGGTTTAGAGACGCTTTCACACTTTGCGATGGCTCGAAAATGAAACCAGGGGGGAGTGAAGTGTTGCTTATATCTGGGAGAGTGATTGAGATATACCCAGGTATTCCAACACGACGGCCTTGTGTGGACAACATGTAGTTTGAGACAAAATGCTTGCGGTAATTTGACAGAGTCCATTCATTCTTCTCTGGGTCAGTGAAAAACAGCTCCAAGCTCAGTTCCAGTTTTAAACAAGCGTCACCCAATACTTCCAGTTGTTCAGAATGAAACTGCTGACCTGCAGATTTTGCAGTGAGCGCGTGGAGTATTAATGATATACTCGGCCCAACATCATCACTATTACCATTAGGACTACCACCTTCATCACCACCACCATCATAACCAATACTAGCATTACCATCACTATAATTACCAGTACCACCACTACTATCATTACCACCACCATCACCATCACCACCAACACCATCATTACCATCATCGTTACCATCACCACCATCATAACCAATACTAGCATTACCATCGCTATAATTACCAGTACCACCACTACTATCATTACCACCACTATCACCACCAACACCATCATCACCACCACCACCATCGTTACCATCACCACCATCATTGAATCCCTCACCAACCACACTACTTCTTTCACCAACTCCACCACAGCTCTCCAATTTACCATTCGCATACGTTTCTTCCCCACCAAGATCCCTTGCGTTCCTAGTTATCCCCGTCGCAAACAGAATCCTCAATTTCATCTCATGTGCGCGCAGTATTGCTTCAAGTCGATACACAACCGTTGGAAGATAGCGAACAAGTGACCATGAAGAGGCAGACAACGGCAAGGTAGAACACAATTCTGGAATCAAATGCATCTCTGTTTTGGAGCTTTTCGAGGAAACTCCAAGATCTTCAGTC